TGGTGAAAATTTTGAGGTGGCACACCAAACTGGTCGTTGTGGTTACTCTGGAAGAGTTTACTTGTAGCATGTGCGTCTCGCCTTCATTCTTTTTCTTAAGAAACAATCTGCATCAAATACATCCATCCACAAATTGGAGACAAAAACATTCCTGTAAAAAAGACCAGAGTTCAAACATGTTTAACTAATTAAATCAAATTTCATTGTTTTAGAATTTTAAGACAGTTTAATTTGCTGCTTCATCCAAAAATGATTGGCATTTACATTTTTTTTAAATGGCAATGTATATTTTCCCTGGCAATAGGGGGCAGTACAAACCTATATCAGAGTAGGCCAGCGGTATTTTTTTTTTTGTTTGAGTAAGACTTTACCATTGGTCGAAAATGGCCATTGGTGTCGAAAATTAAATATTTTTATTAAAATAAATGTATTCATTGGCTTTAAAACACCAATGTGTAATATAGTTTACTATCTAATTCTGCATCTGTTCACAAACCTGCACTTTTTCAGTAATATCACTCACCGACATTTATTACAAGTATTCCTATTAGCCTGACATTTTACATTTTCAACTAGTTGACCCTCTACAGTCATGTGCCATCTTGAAATAAAGAATCTGTTTAGGGACATACAAGAAAAAATGCTTCATTGCTTGCTCCCAGACGTTCTCTTCTTCCTCTGTTGAAAAAGTTGATCTTTGAGAAGTTTTAGCAGTTCTCCTTCTGCTTCAAAACATCGTGTAGGAAATGCCACCAGTTCCCTCCATGGCAGCCTTGCTGGTTTGGGGAAGTTTTGCTCCTTCCATTTAGAAAAGAATACACATAAAAACAGACCTGACTGAAAGCTGGAAGTGATTAATGACTTTTTGATGTGTGAGGGCTACTGTAGATGTACTTCTCTGAAATGTGTGGCACCAAAGAGTCGATTTTTTCACACATTTAGGCTTTAGTGTATTTATTTTTATGAGAGAAGATTGAAATAAGGTTTGTAACATGAATTTGAAAGGGCTGGAGGGGCAGTGGAGTGGCCAATAGTTTTCTAGGGGTGGCCATGGCCCCTACTGGCCACCCTTTAGGGGCGCCACTATACAACAGTGCAAAATAAGATGAACAAAACAGAAAAATTAAGTTGTGATGATGAACAGTTAAATATCTTTTGTTTGTCTTGCTTGTGGCCTTCCAGGAAATAAAGAGTTAACTCACATTTCTCTGGTGCCCCCCCCCCCCCCCCCAACAGTTTCAGTGTGTTGTCATTCAAAACCAATTTAGGAAGCAGTAGGATCTCATTATTACACCAATTTAATTCCAATTAGAAGAAATGAATCAAATTATCTTTTTTCACAGCACACTGACAAATAACTAGCCGAGAAATGAACATGACTGACGTACATAACAGGGTCGTCTCAGCAAATTGATCTCATTACTGTTTTTAATGTAGAGGCCCTGTTTGCTTCTTTTGAAGATAGGGACAAAAGGTCACACAGCTAAATTGGTAGCTTCTTTCACTGAGTTTTTATTTTTTACAAAGCAGTCCATAGAATCAAAATCTAATGAGTCTATTTTGTGACGTTAGTTAATTCTATCTGCTCAGTTACTGATTAGAGGGCACATTGAAATCAATAAATGTGACCTAGGAAGTCATGATTGTCAACATGAGCATAAACAGGGTTGTAAGGGAGAAAATAAAAGAAACTGCAAGGAAGTTCTTCCTGTTGAATTTTAAAAGTATGTTTATATTTATATTTGTGATGTCTTTGTTAAAAGTACTTTATGTTTTCTGCCTCATGCACACATAACCGCGCTGTGGTTGTGAAAAAGCCTACATTTTCCTGTTTTTTCTTTTGTTTCTGACAGTATTGTGGTCAGCCTGAATTCATGTAAGTAGCACATCATCAGCTCTGTTTCAAAGATGATGGAAGTTTTTCCAAGAAAAGTGTCAGCACTTTTCCTCTACCAGACCCAATTTCTACTTGTCACTGCGAAATTAAGCGCCTGGACTCTTGTCTCAGGATGGGAGAAAAAGCTGATGCGACTAAGTAGTGGCTGTCAAATGCAGTTTTATTTCACCACATCAATGCCCAGATGGATGAGGAACACCTAACAAAGAAGCTACCATCCGAATGCATAGTGCACATAAGAGAGAACTTTTTTTTTTCATGCATAAACAATGTGTCTAATTCTGCTGCACAATGTGACACATGTCTCACCTCTCTATACAAACGTGTTATTTCTGTAAGTTGTTCAGCAGCTTAACTTAATGACAACTCTGTGCATCCTCTGAATAATATATAAACAAATGGATTATTCAACTCATGACTTCTGCAGCTTTTTTTTTTGCAGCAATAACTGTTGCTGAGGGGTTTTTTCTGCCAACAGCAAGACGGTCGAAGCGGGCTGTGCTAATCACTATGCATCGCTTTATTATCTCAATATTCCGTCTGCAGCTTTTCTTCCACTTGCTGATTTTCCATCCTGCTGCCACTCAACAGTTCACACATAAACGAGCTGAATCTTCCAAACGAAACAAGTAAAATTCACAAATGAAAACAATCCTCGTGTTACAGGGGAAATTCAAGAGCACAAAAACAGAGAAGTATGCTTAAATGATGATGAATAACAGACTTATAGGGCGCAGGCATCCCAGAGTGAAAGATGAGCTTACCTTGTAGGCTCAGTTAGAACTTTCTGCTGTAGAAACGCATCTCTTAAAGCGGGTGGGTGTGTGTGTGTGTGTGTGGGGGGGGGGGGGGGGGGGGGTGTCCTGCTCCTTGAGGGCTGCTATCCAGCAAGTTTTAGTGGTTTCTCTGCTTAAACACACCTGGTTTAAATCTGCTGGTGATTGACAGACTGTTGCAGAGCCTGATGAGCTGCTGAACAGGTGATTGATTCAGGAATCAGGTGTGTTGGAACAGGTAAACAACTAAATCCTGTTGGATAGCAACCTCTGAGGACCAGGATTGCCCACCCCTGCATTAAAGGGAACTTACTATTCAAAACCCACCTGTTGCGTTCTTTTGTGCTTTCACGTGGGTCATTACTGCCTCTATGAAGACTTCTGTTGGGTATTTTTATAATTGTACCTTTTTGAGGCCTAAAAGATGCCCATTTTGTGTTATTAACACATCATGAATCTCTGTGTTTGCCAACTACTGTGGCTGTTCATGAAAGGTTGAGCAAGGATGTTGATTGTAAGAAACCTCTGTACCTCTGTAACCTGAGAAGGCCCGCCTTCTCCTCCATCCATTGTGAATAAAGCCCCTGACGAACTGGGAGCACACGGGAGTGACGTGGGGAAGCCTCGGAGGAGGTTTCTCTGCGTTAACTCTCCATATTTTGGGGACTCAGGGTAAAATGCCTTCCTTGTTGTCATGTGTGTTTATTTCAGGGTCCAGGGTTATGGAGATTAAATATTACCTAACATTCTGGTCCCCTGATGGAGAATGCGGGTATGCAGAGCTGGTGAGGTGAAGGCTTTGAGGCTGGAGCAGAGTGGGGGCTGGTTGGTTGAGTCCAGCTTCTCGCATGTTGATTTGCGCACATGGACATTATAAATAATCAAGATTTACTCTCTCTCTCCGGGTGTGTCGTCCTTTAAGGTAATATGGGATAAAATTAATTACCTATCAACTTCTAATGTAAAATTAAACCGTCCATCAGCTTTCTTTCAGTGTTTGGTTTAAGGAATCATCTGCCTAAAACAAGCCGTCCCAAAACATCCCCGTCTGTGATGTCACAAACAGGGAAATTAGACTGGAACCACCTCAGCGAGAGAGAGCTGCTGGACAAGCTGCGGCTCTACTCTAAGCTCCTACCAGATATCAGAGCTTCTCATCTTATAGCAGCCTCAGCGAGGGACTGGGTGGGCGTGGCCAGCTCCAGTTTGTTTTCTTAAAGCGACAGAGCCCTGAAACGGTTAATTCTGGAAGACAGTGAAGAATAAAACTGCTGAAACCAATTTATGTGAGAGAGATTTAGTGCCAAAAACCTCCACAAGCTTGTTAGGTATTGACCATAAAACTATTATAACTTAAGAAAGTCCTAGAGTTTTTTGTGTTGCTGTCTGTTACCTGTTTCATGCTGCAGGAATGTCGATTTATGTATCCTTGTACCAAGGACCAATGTTCAGTCATGACTGAGAGATGAGCTTTCAAACTCTTACATCTGTTTCTATCAGAGTTTATAATAAGTGTCATCTGTCTTGTGTCAGGCTGACCGAGCAGATGCCTGATGTTGTGTATCCACATCCTGGTACTTAAATAAATCTTTCTCAGCCGGATCTTCTTTTCCAAATAGAAGTCAGCAGTTATTTCAGAATTTGAATAATCTGAAAAGTTAATATTCATGTTGTGGTTGTTTTGGATGGACATCCTGTACGTTCTGTTAGCTCACAAGGCAACACCTCTATAGACTAATGCAAGTTCTTAGAAAATATTGCTTTACTTTGGATTTGGCATTGTTTTCTTGCAACAAGTACTATTAATACTTAATGACCCTCTTACTGCAGAGGAGTACTGAAACGCATCAACACTGCTTTGCAACAATCTTGTATCTCAGCACTCAGGTGTCAAGAAACACACATTTAGATTTAAACTGTGATTCAAGCATCAAAAGACTAAAATGTATTTGATTTGCAAGGGAAATAATGGAATTCTTGGTCAATATTTAGCGTAAGTCACAATATTTCTTGAGTGACAGATTACTGGGTAGCTCTGACAGCTGAAAATACTGATCAAATAAATCAAGTCCTTGTATGCAAGAAAACGACCCTGTGTTTTTTATATTGATGTCCGGCCAGTGGTTTGATTACCGTGTGTTCCTTTGTTCTTTCTTTCCTCAGTTCATGAATAAAGCAATCACAGAGGTTAAGTGAATGGCCTTGAATTGTGCTTGATTGCAAGCTTCCAGATAGCTGCAATTTAAACCCTTTTTTCCCCCCCTTTATTTTCTTTAAGGCACCCGTGTTTAATGAAAATACCCCATCTGTGTGTCTCCTTGTTCCAGGCCAGTGGAGTCAATGCATCGGAGAAGAGTGTGGTTCCGATGGAGTTCAAACCAGAACACTGTGGTGCGTCCACATGGAGGGCTGGACTACCCATCACTCGCACTGCCAGCACATGGACAAGCCAGAAAGCAAGAGGCAGTGCTTTAAGGTCTGCGACTGGCACCAAGATCTATTTGAATGGGAGGTTTCTGAATGGGGGGGCTGCGTGCTTGTTCCTTTTTTCTCCAATGAGCTCAAGCTGAGGACAACAGAGTGCATTACAGCACAGCACGGCATTCAGAGGCGCCACATCCACTGTGTGCGCACTTCGAATCGAAGCTCAGTCAGCTCGAGGATATGTGAGTTCTTTTCCCAGAAGCCCCCCATGGAGCAGGCGTGCCTGATCCCATGCCCCCAGGACTGTGTGGTTTCAGACTTCACTTCCTGGTCGAGTTGCAGCAAAACATGTGGCGCTGGTCTGCAGCATCGGACTAGACACATCCTGGCCCCACCAATGTATGGAGGGGCGGATTGCCCAAACCTAACTGAGACCAGAACTTGTTCGAACTCTAATGAATGCCCAGTTGCAGAGGGTGAGCACCAGTACAGCCTTAAAGTGGGGGCCTGGAGTAAGTGCCGACTACCCCATCAAAAAGACACCCTGTTAAATGGAAGGACCACGGTGGACTTTAGTACAAATTCCAATGAGAACAACACTATAAACTTCTACATGCTGGCTTCTCACCATCACCCCTCTCATCACCATCACCACCACCATACTCACGTGCACATCAAGTACCCCATGTCATGGGAGCAGGAGGTGGGATATCAGACACGACAAGTTCGCTGTGCAAGAGGTGACGGCAAAAACGTCATGCTGAGGTAAGAAGTACTATATTATATGTACTATTTTTTATAGCAATAGTTCTTAAAGGTGCCATATGTAAGAATGAACTGACATTCACATCCTGTGGTCAAATTTGTGCACTGCAGCCCATTATTCAAAGCAAAAAGATACTTTCTCACTGCCGTTCCGTGAGTTTCGTGGCTGTTGTCAGTTACGGATCAGCACCAGAATTTCTAGATGACAAGCAAAGACAATTCATAGAAAGTAAGATGATCAGTAGACAAATGCATTGGTATAGTTGGTGTTAGCACTGATGGGTGTTTTATGGTAGGGAGCACCTAGTACAGTTATTACGATAATATATCTCCGGCTATAGAGGAAGTATTGTTTGACGTCTTGCTGTTATAGTTCTGAACGACTCATTAAACAAAGTAAAACGCTATGATTGACTCATTATTCACGTCACACATAAACCGTAGTATCGAGTTTTGGTGATTGAAAAAGTAGCTTGAGATATTTTTATAGCTGATTATTTTCTTCTAATTCACAGTTAGCATTGTTAACTCAATGTTAGTCTCTAGTCTGCTTCACAAGAAATTAGACTAAAACAAAAAGATGCCGTGGCTTCAAAAACTTCTGGGTCGCTCCTGTTTACTGGCTTCAGTTGTTTAAACTGGAGCTTTTTGCCTGCCAGTGTTGAACTGTAAATGCTGACGCTGCAGCGTTGGCTCGCTGCAGACTCTGCAACCTCACGGGTTCCTAGATTGTAAATCTTCACTTTTGTACATTTATGATAATTTGTTCCATTTTGCTAGGGATGTAGCTTCAACAATTGCTTTCCAATTTTATTTCTAACTGTGGAAATTAGGTCAAGACCTCCTGTGCAGTCTTGGTGACCCACAGTGGGGTCCCGACCCAAACTCTGGGAACCACTGGTACAGAGAAGCTGTTGTTTGATTATATGAAATGAGCCAAATGTGTCCATTTATATGTATAATTTACAGTATGTGATATTTAACCCTCCCACTGTCCTAGTGGGTGACCCCGCAAGGACAGCTGACCATTGAGCAGGGCTGATGGTTAATCCCTTGAGGTACATGTGGCAGGGGTGAGGAGTGAGCACCACCTCACCCCTGCCACGTGGACCTCAAGGGATAAACCATCAATCCTGCTCAATGGTCAACATTTCTCGCGGGTCGCCCAATAGGGAAGTGGGGGGGTTATAAAGAATCTTCTACTTTTCTACCAAGGCAATGAAGATTTCAACTTCTGTGCTTATTTAAATAAGTTAATTCTAGTTCATCCGTCAAAATGTCCTTTTTTAAATGAGTTCTTTGTTATGCGGTCTCAAATATGTCAGTAAGTACTGTATAGTACAGCAGAAAATGTGTGCATACGGACAAGAGAAGTCTGTCCCACTCATTCACTCATGATCTCGGACGTAAAACTGCATGTGGAAGTATGTGGGGCTAAACAAGCTCGATGCCTTTATTTATTTGTGCATTCATTTGTTTTGTTTCTGATATGTGAGGAACGCGGGCGGTCAAGGCACATCCTAACTTATGGCCCCCGATGGGGCACTTTGCTCAAGTGGAGGTGTTCTCATTCAACTAAAATGCTTTCCATCGACGGTGCTTATTTATTCAATTATAACTAGATTATATGAGAGCTGGTTTTCCACTAGCGTGTTGGCAGCGAGGTGAGGTATTATCGTGTTAAATGTTAAGTGGTGCTCCCCTCAGTCGCTGCTTTTTGAGCTGACCCTGGTATTTGGATTTGATAAGAATGGATTTTGCTGCACATGTTCAAACACAATGCAGGGACATATACACACATACACACTCACACACACTTGAGGAAGGAACAATATGAGCTTCTTTGTTGGTAAGAGGGGAAAATCATTGCATCTATAATATGGCCTATTGTCTAAATGCCACTAAATACCATCTTTTTGTTTTGAAGTGACACCATTATGTTGCTGTTAAAATCAATATCAGACTAACAGCCACTGAGATCAGCTCTTAAAACACTTCTGTTCAATGACATCTTGGCTTTTTTTGTCTCACTGCTTTTACAGTCGGTCATTTTTAGTACAGCAGGAAATACACTGAAGAGTTTAGTGTCTTATTTGCTTCAGTATGTAAGTATATTTTACTAGATACAACGCATTACGGCTTAATTATAGGTAAAATGTGTACATTTAAAATGATTGATTTTACCACAAAATCTATGACCTATTTGTAATAAAGCCATTAATTGTATTGTCTTCTTTGTACTGGAGGACGTGTAGTCACTTAGGATTTATCATGCAGAGGTGGAAGCAACAAAGTTCATTTGTGCTGCATGGAATCCAACATAATCAGAAGTTAGTAGGTTACCTAATGAAATCTGTCCACTAATCCATTTAAATCCCAACTACATCTGGGACCAGTACTATAATTAAAGTTCATTATACCCAGCAGACCTGTTGCAAGGAGGCAGCAAAGCTGTGCGAATGTGAGATGCTAAATCTATGCTTGTGCACGAGCGTGCACGTTATGATTACAAATGAGATCAACGTAAGTCATTATCTTCATTTTTGAATCCAACAGGACTTATGGTAGTGTCATGTTTTGATGTAAAGTGTCAGATGTGGTAATGAAGTCTTCTTCGTCTTTAGTCTATGCACAAAGGACACCTCCCCTCTGACCTACCAGGCATGTTTGATGCCCCAAGACTGTCAGACATCCGATTGGTCATCGTGGGGTTCCTGCTCTAAAACCTGCCGGTCCAACGATCTGTCCCCCGGTTACCGCCTCCGGTTACGGGTCATGACACAGATCCCACGTGGTGATGGGACGCCGTGTCCAGTCCTTGAGGAAAAGGAAGCTTGTAACATCATCGGGGATTTGCTTCCAAAGTGCCCCAGGTAATGTGTCCGATTATTAAACTCATTTTGAAGCCAAGACAAAACAAGTCTGTTTGTGTGTAACCCGACCAAACTCCGGTTGCTTTAATGTGGTCGACAGGCCAGACTTTAGCTATTAAAACTTGCACAGAACAAAGTAGTCAGGAGAGAATTACATTTCCTGCTGCTTGACTTTATTTTTTTATTTTCGTTTTAAATTCACATGGAGTGCCCGGGAGCGGAGGATTTACATGATTAGGGAAAACTCATTACGGAAATTAAGCATTTGATAGATTACTGGGGGCTGTTGTTCTGGTACTCTCCTCAAATATTACTGCGTTCTGCAAGGCTGCATTTTTCATAGATGAAACCAAACATTTATTTAGAAGTCCTGAAATCAAAATAATCATTCCACACTCCTCCTGATCCACACTACGACAAAGCCAGCTCTTGCCAGAGATTGCACACGCTAATTTGTCTCACGCTTTGTGAGACTTGTTGCTAGTAATTGTCACACAAGGGTGTGACCTGGTGGCTCATCCTCTTTAAGTTGATCCTGTTTTATTTCTTTGCTTCCTGATGGATCTCAGTGGTGGTTTTGAAAGTCCACAAACACATTTCTGTTGTGAACCCCACAAAACATATGACACAGTGACCCTCACTCCCTTTTCCCTGCAGGTTTCTCCTTATTTATGTTTCAAATATCGTCGCATGCCTTGCGTGTTTTGTCAGGTACATGTGGAGAGCCACAGAATGGGGTGAATGCCGCATCCTACCTTTACTGAGCCAGCAGGACCGGAGGCAAATTAATGTCAGTATTCTGTGTGGAGGAGGGATCCAGACAAGGAAGACCTACTGTGCTCAAGTTCCTGATGATTCAGCACCACATCACAGGAAGGAAGGTAAGAATAAAGGAACACCTTCGGCGAGGTTGAGCCAGGGCTTACTGGAAGGTAGCGCATTATGAATAAAAATATAAATTATATATAAAAGTGAAGCAAACTTGCATTTTATGTTATCAAAGTAAATGTTCCCGTTATGCTGGCTACACAGATAAAAACGAACCCTCTGAGTAGCAGCAGCAAACGCATGTTCAAAGTGCACACAAGCAATATCATCAGCTTATTCATCGTGTGGTTTAGTGATCTGCAATGTGTTTCGGCAAAATCTTTGAACAACTGGGTACCAGTTTTATCTCTAATGATGTTCAGTGTTGCCCTTCTCCTGTCAAAATCTAAAACAAACTGTTAGAAACGTTAGTTTCAGATAAAACACAGTTGTGTTGGCAAGTAAAAGCCAACATTAAAATGGACTTCTTACACTGTACATTAAAGATGGTGAGAGTAATGCATTTACATCTAATATGATCAAAAGTAATAAAATGGGAACCTTTATCCTAGTTTAGATGTCTGTTAGTAAACCGATCTCTCAAATGAAGTCTGTTCCACTCCACTACAGTAGGTGGCGACATGCACCTTTTTGTGTTGGTATTCTACCTAGTATTCCTCCAATTTGTGTTACTTTTAGCAACACAAATAGTAAACAAACGCTGGCGGGAGTGAAGCAGACAAAGTTATGCACAATGTCTGTAGGAATGGACAACGCTGCAGCACTGTACTGTTTGATGGTGTTACGTGTGTTACGTGTGTTACGTGTGTTAATTTGTGGCGATGATATTATCAGAAGACCACTTCCGTGGTTTCGTCTCTTCTAGAAGTAAATGGTATCGGCTCGACTGAGCCATTTACATGAAGATGAAGTTGGTTTCTTGTAGCATAACCTGGGTGCTTCGCCTTAAGCAAGACTAACACGTTCACATGCATTAAAAACAACACCAGTCTATTTAGAATAATAAATAAGTTTTCTGATGTGCAAGTGTAAAGCCTGGTTCATGCTTCTCCGTCAGCTCCGCAAGGGACAGACACGCACGGATTGACCGAAACGTTTTGCTCTCATACTTCTCCGTCTCCTGGAGAGTGTTGCAAAGCAATTGCCCGGCAGGACAACAGAGGGCGTAGCGCTGTTCTGGGGTATCCTGTCATGTATCGGTCCATGATAGTTTGTTTATATTGTTTTTTGTGTATATAAGAGACTTTTAACACGGACATATTTGTCTCTCATTCTCCCACCTCTTCATGCGCTCCCCACCTCTAAACCCACGTTTCCTGTCATTTCCGTCCACAAATAAAACGCTTGCTGCGCATCTTTTCACTCCTCCAGTCACGAGAGAATTAAACGTTCATATTTTTAGAGTTTTTTCACGAGGTATTCTTCAAGCTTCTCCGTGTCTGCCGCTAGTTATCCTCGGCTCTCTTTCCAATGGCGGCGCTGTAAACAACAGCGGCGTCCTGACCAATCACAAGCTTGCCTTCTCCGTCTCGTTCGACGGATGTTTAAAAAAGTGGGCTCGACTCCGTACGTACTTGCGTGCCTGCCGGAGCCCTACGCAAGGACGTTGCGTGTCTCCGCACTGACACAGACGGAGAAGCATAAACCAGGCTTTAGTGGGACACTTAGCAAATTTTTCATATTTTTAAATCATTTTCTTGAGCCAGTACGTGCTTAAATGACCCTTAATGAAGGTTAATGAAATGCCACTCAGACCTCCACCGCCCCCTGTTGCCAGAATATCGCATTTGCAACTTCAGAGTTGCCGGGCTGCTCCATGCTGGTGGAGGATGCTGTGGAGTGGACTAAAGCTGACACGGTGGACCTGGAGTCTGCTTCCAGCTCATTTCCTGCATGTTGTAGATCGTGAACACATCTGATTTGTTTGATTTAGTGATGGATCACTCCTCTAGAAACTAATGAAGGCTGAGGAGACGTTTCAGCTGTTAGATTAAGGGTTTAAAAAGACAAACGCACAGCGAGGAGATGAGTTTCACTTTTGCTTTGACCACAGATAATTAATAACAGACACTAGGGGGTGCTAAAAGCAAGCACAACTGCCTAATATACCTTTAATAGGACTCAACACATCACAAGACAGGTCCAGTGAACTCAAATTTGCCCTAAATAAGAAATTCTTGAATTAAATTGGATTCAATTTCCAACCTAACGTTATAAATTACCATAAATTAGGAGTAAAAATACAGGGATGGGCACAGGCCTGCTAAGTATTAATCATTTATCACTTTAATTAAGCACAAGTGGGCACTTTTAATGACTGTCAACTAATAAATTCTCTATTGTTTTGCAGATTTCACTCCTCCTGCATAATGAATGCAGTAATTTGCCAAATAAAAGCATGTTTATTTAGCCTCCATCCATTTTTGTCTATAGTACTTGAGTAGCTTTGTTTTGCTGTTGATGTGCAGCATTCATGGGAAGACCCTTTAACTTGACAGGCATGTTCAGAGAAATGCGCATTTTGTTGGTTTTCTGTGGAGAATCTGAATGAAGGCGGCGTTTTTAACGGTGTGAGGGACAAACATCAGTAATGTAGCGTTTGTCAGCTGGTGTGAAGCACAGCACACTCGTGTTGGGTCTCTACTTCGGTAACACAACTCAATTCCAGATAAACACCATTTATGAAACAGAGCGGAAAGATCCCCACTTCACTTTATCACTGTATTTAAACAAGCACCTGATTGTGACGAAGGAGATCAAGCACCGTGTAAATTACCCTGGGTAAAGATGACAAAATGCTCGCCGGACATTTGGTCTTTTTTCTGTGGGCTCTCATTTAAATGGAAATTTGCCTCTCAATGATGTGCGGAGGTGCATCAAAATGGAATATTAGATTGAAGCTCTTGCAAACGGGGAAAAAACGTACTAATTTTTTATTCTGTGAGGAAACCTTTAAAAGCGACGGAGCTGTCGGTGATCTTCACACGATGTCAGTCACGCTTAGCAGCAAATTGATTACATTCTGTTGTGGTTTAATATCTCCCTGTTTAGATGCAGTAATTTCCGTTGCTGGTAATTCTGCTCAGTTTAAAATTTCCTGTCATTAGACGAGCTTTTCCCTCTGCTCCCCTCACTCATTAGTCCTCCAAATGAGCTTTGTTAAACCTCTCACCACATATCGTGTTACCATGTGTTTTTCAACCTGAGGCGAGGCTCCTTGGTCTTCTCGAGTCTCCGTGCACAAACTCGGTCACAAGCACAAACCCCAATATTTGAGACCCTTCACATGTACGGCTACATGTGTGTTCCATGACCATTTCTTCTTTTTATTGCTCAGTGTCCAGGCCTGTGAACGCCCAGCTGTGTGATGGGGATGAGCCTCCCTTGGCCGTTCAGAACTGCACCATTCCCTGCCAGCAACCAGGCTTGCTCTCACAGTGGTCAGCCTGGAGTGCCTGTCTACATGAGGACTGCAAAGACCCTCAAGGCAAGAAAGGTGTGTTGAAGTAAAGTGGACTTGTTGAAAATGTCACCGTTTAATGGCTTTTTAGCTCATTCGCTGCCAGCGTTTCTCACCGTTTTTACTGTTTTTTTAAGAGTGACAGAACGTTGCGCGCTAGCATGATGTCGATGCCAAAACTACCAAAACAAAGAGGAGACTCACCTCTTACATCAGGAAGAAGCCGCGTGTTTCGAGCGTTATCCGTTCTTTCATAATCCGTTGTTGAATTGTGATCGGCAGACGCTTTTCCGGTTCGCGCCTCACTTTTTTTTACAGGAACGGCCCAAAACGATCTCTTAACATATATATGTTCTGCTTCCTGATCATGTGACGTGTAACGTATGCGGATGAAAATCGGCTTCAGAGCTGGGATGTTTGTTCTCTCGGCGCAGGGGCTCGTTTCGACACCCACACAGTAAAAAAAATGCAAATGACGACTTTAGTCGTCATTGGCAGTGAATGAGTTAAGCATTGTTTGGGTTTTGTGAACAGAATGCACATGTGATCGATGCCTAAAAAGTGCTTATTTCAAAGTAGTGAGCAGAATGAAAGTTCAACAAGGTCATGAATGTTTAAAGTTTAATCCGGCTAAAGAATACTTTAGGTAGATCTGGGTGAAATAACACAATAATAAAGAGATTCACACACTACTAGTTTTTATTATAGGAAAATGTATGTTTGCTGATTACTGCTGAGTTACATCTGCAGCCTTGCAGGTTTTTTTTTAAATTGCAGACGTCGTTGCTTTATGTGCTGTTTAATTAAGACCGGTGTTATGGAAAGTACTTTGTCATTTTAAATGAATGCCCGTTTGTGGTCTTTTTTCCAATTTCCAACATGCAGGTTCACTGTGATTATGCGCTAACGTCTAGTCAAAGAAAAAATCACGTGGAAGATATTTTGCTCAGAAATATTGGTTTCCAAGCCTGAATGCTGGATGGAGACTTTGGATTCAGAACATGGAGCCAAACAGCTCAAATAAAGATAAAAACTTCTGAATCTCTCCGGGTGATGACCCTGCTACCTACACAACTTAGTCAAGTGGTTTCATTTCATGAACTTACTTTTTGTATTGAACTTTGATTTCAGTTTTCTCTATTGTCAGTCGTCTTCATCCATCAGAGATCTCCCGGTATTTTCTGCCTTGTCCCCAGTTGGCCGCTCGCCACCTGCTACCCTGGTTCTAATTAGCACACCTGCATCTACTTTCCTTCTAATCCTCTGTGATATTTAACCTCTGATTATTTCCACCAGTATGTGCCAAATATTATTTATGTTAAACATAACTCAACTTGTTGATGAACTTGGTAGTAAGCAACTCATTGGCACATTTGTTTAGGAGGATGTCTTTTTATTCTTTCCCCCGATCTCTGTTATATGTCCTTGACAATAAATAACGAGAGGTCGAACAGCGGTGCTATGAAAACATCTAGCCATTTAAACTATGGTTCACAACCAAATTAGATTTGGCAGCAAATTACATGCCTGTATATTATGTATTTTTTAGTACAATAATGCTTTCTGAGAGCCACGTTTCAGACAAGTGTTTAAAATCACCATCAACATTTTTTTTGTTTAGTTTTAATCGAAAGTGTAAATCCAGCATATTGACTACAACAGTTGGAATCTTATGTGAATTTATTGCATTTGTAAAATCAATGAAAGAAATGTGAAGCTAAATACTTCCAGTATCATCAGCAAGGGACCTCCGAAACCTGAAAGCTTTTGCACATTCATGGACTCAGTGAAAGATTTTAGAGTGTTTTAGCAATGCTGAACCTGTCAGACAGAGAGGTGTTCTGTCTGTCGGAGGCTACGACGGACAACGTTGGCAGGACTGGCCATTTCTGTCGGAGCAGAACGCAGTAGCCTCTTGGTTAGAATGCTAAAACTGATTTAAGCAATAGGTGGACGCACGTGTTAAACAAAGGATGAAGAACTATTTTATTTTATTTCTTTATTTAACCAGATGAGTCGACCAGAGCAGATGTTTGGAAGGGGAAGGCGCAGACATGAAATGAAGCTCCTAAATTCGCCCAGAAGAGAAGATAAGATGAGTTCTGTGTATTGGTGTGCAAAACGCAATAGGCGCTGGAAGAAGGGCATGCATTGTGTGCGGAACATTTGCAGCAGAGCTGTTAGTGTGTTAGGGCTGTGCTAAAAGGCCACAATGACCGCGTCTCTGCAGTGAGTAAATGTGAGCATGAAAGTACCCCGGGGAGTGACTGGAGTGTGGATTGTTTAGGTCAAACAGTGGGTCTGTATCAGATGAGCCAGCTCCTCTCATGGACTGTGTCATTTATGTGTTTCAAGGAATAAAAAAAACAACCAAATACAAAAAACAAAGCATCTGCTGTTTAGCTGCTCTGGTGGGAAGCTATCTTTTAATGGTGTTTGTAAAGACTGGGAGCACGCGGCAGACAGAGAATGAAAGCAATACAGAATCACTCACAGGGAGCAGTGCTGCCTGAGATGCGCTCTACAGATATTGAGCGGTGGAGTATTGTTATGAACCAACTCGTTTGCTTGTAGCCCTTGAGCTTCAGAGGATTTCTCCCTCTGATTGAATGGCTTTTATGTTTCACCGCATCAGAATAAACTGTGATCCGTCGAACTGAAAGTCCCTTCAGATCCCCGGGTTTCAGGTGTAAGAGTCGACCAGCTTTGCTCTGTGGAAAATTACACATTTAGATTACCTCCCTGTGGCTCCTCGTCTTTTTATGCTATCGTGGCCTATCACATTTGCAGCTATACTGGGAAATCAATTGAACATGGGAGGTTACTGGATGGATTTTTTAGCAGGGGCCCCTACCAGGGCTTACACAGCTCGAGGGAAGGTGTATTCCTGAAAAGCTAAAAATTGCTGCATGGCCCTTGTTCGCTTAAAATAAACCCAGTGTGGCAAAGAAACCTTTTAATTATTAATATCCACAAGGGCATGGCCAGCCAAATTGTTTTTGTGGCTTGGATACGAGCAACAGTAAGTGCTCTTGGCGATGCTGCTATCGATCCGCCGTGTCTTTGCTCTTCAAGAGCGCACTGAGGCAGCATCAGTCGGATCACACTCCTGAACCGGTGCTCCACTGCAGCACATGGTAAGGGGATGTAATTTGCAGAGTGGGGATCCTTTGGTTAAATAGTGCTGCCTGTGGGGCAAAGGAATGTGGGACCGGTACATCAGTGACCAGTGTCAGAACTGAGATTAAAGCAGTGCGGCTCAAAGAAAAGCTGTCACAAGGGGGACTGCAGTAGCTCAGACACTTTTATCCACCAGCTTTCTACGAGCAAGAACACCGCTGTCTTTAGGGAAACGGACAGACTCGGCAGTCAATTCAAATGATCGATCTGAACGTGTTCAATCAGTAAAGACCTTTTTATGGAAAAATGAATATTTCATGACCAATCCATCTTTGGGGAATCAATACAGTGAAGTGGGGATTATGAATAAAAATATGGGACAATAAGGTAATGTGGTTGACTAGGTAGGCGCTGTAGTGATAATGACCGAGACAAAATGTTCGTGTCATTCGATAATTTGCTGAACGCTCTGGAGCGTTTTATTGCTCCTGCCGTCTTTATGATCCATCTGCCATTCTTCAAGCACCAACAATCAATGTTTTGTTCATCCATATTTAACAAAGGCTCTTTTTGTGGTTTATGATACAAGAAGGGGAGGAAGGTGGCGGCGCTAAAACACACAAACTACAGATGTGATGCAAATACTTTGCCCTCTGGACAGACTCAAAGGGAGAACAGGTTCTTCCACTCACAACTATGATCATTTCAAGAATATATCTGCAGAAAATCTTTATTTTCATAACTATATATTTTTTGTGAAGTAAACGGCATTGACTGCAAGTGTAGAAGCAAAAACATAACATTTTTTAGGCTACAAAACAAAAACCGTGCAGAAAATGCCAATGGTGATGCCGTTTTCTTAAACTGATGGTGATTTGACTATTCTAGACCCAATAACAGTGACATCCACAGATTTAAGCTGTACCCCTCAATGCATTGTCAACTTATAGGATTGTTAAGCTCATGGAGCAAGAAACCGATCCGGAAGTTGACATGCTGGTCATACAAAGTCCTTTTAACTGAAAGAGTTCTTCCAATGCATCACGCAACAAGTTGAAGTATGGAAGTCCAAACCAGCTCATACAAATCCAGAAGCACGAAGACAATTCTTCTCCAGCCTTCAGGGAGTACAGACGCTTTTTTTCTCAGCTCCCTTATCTGCTTTCCCAAGGCTCTTTGTCCTGTCAGCCTACAGAGCACTTATCTGCATTTCTCCTGAAACCACTACTCTTTTTTTGGAAATATGGACCTAATTAACTGGTCATTCAACGCAATTGATAAAATTTTTTCTAGGATGAGAACGGAGAAGGGGGCTCCCACCTGTCCCGAGGGGACATTCGCAGCGGGATATGCACTCGATTCTTGGGAGGTCTGGCGAATCGTGTGCCTCTCTCAGTTGTCCATGTGGAAGATTTGTGGATGTTCGGCCTGATGATCACTGGATTTCTTCTGATTGGAGTGGGAGGATATCTGGTTTTCTGGAAATTTGGGAAGACGGGAGCGATTGGAGTGCGACCCGCGCCCATGGAATGTGCCGCCCGTGCCGTGACCTCACAGACTGGGACGTTACTCGAGGTGAACCGTAAGCTGGATAATGTCCTTGCGGCATTGCCTGTGTTAGTACGCAATATGGATGTCATCTCGGAGAGGGTCGCCGGACGATGTGGGGATGTTTAGAACGTAAAATTGGCTCACTGGTGGACTTGAATGACCACTTATAGACTCCAAGGCAGAAAGGAAAATTATCTCTGCCTGCCCCAAACAAAGCCAGGTTTATCCTTTATCTGACGCCAAGGCAGTCTCTCAAGGCTGCTCAACACACCCCCACGAAAGCAGGAATGCTGACAGATGCTGTGTCCCGACTTTCCCACCCTGCCTTCAGATTGTGACTTCTGCTGAGGTCAGCGACCTGCGGGAAACTCAATGTGCTCTCTGTTCCTTATCTCTCCCTCCCACCTGTTGGACTGCAGCTGGCTGAGCGCCGTACCAGCATCTCCCGTTGGAGGCTTCAGGATCCCGCCCAACCCCGCCTCCCTATCGGACTCTGATGTTTTGTATCTGTGCTGTTTGTGCTTCTATGTTGAGGAGTTTTTTTTTTTATAATAGAGTTATTCCCCGCTGGGTCTAACTCTGCTATGCCTTTTTTTACCTTACCCCCAATTATCCTCATGTAACACCCTTTTCATCTATCTATTAAGGTAGCGCGACTCATGTTGCGAATGACCGCAGTCACCAATTCTTGTCATGTGTCTTACCCATGTATGTCTAATCTCTGAATTGTGTGCACTGAAACTCAATTTCGTTTCTCTGTATGTCCTGCACATGTGGTAGAAATGACAATAAAAACGACTTTGACTTTGACAATCATTTAAAAAATAATTATCATGTTAAACACAACACCCCCTAAAAAAAATAAAATAAATAAACTGCTTTTGGGCTTATTTTGTGTGTTTTCTTAAAAGGTCAGGATAATTGGAGCAGTTCAGCCAAAAACACAAATAAATGTAGCTCAGCAATCTAAAAAAAAATTATAAAAATTAAATGGATAAAAACAAGTGAGTCTCCGTAACTGTAAAAGACAGATGTCATTTCAAAAACGGCACAATTATTGCAGCTTGACCCAACTCACTCACACGTCTCCACTATCTCACCTACCCCCCTCTGTTATGGTGTTACTCCCACTATCTCCCCACCTCACCCTGGAAAGGCTTCTGTTGCTGCATCTCAGTGAAAACAGTCTTTACTGAAGCACATTTTAGCTAATTATTAACATGATTTTTTATTTCAAAATAAAAGCACCAAAATGAGACTATACTGTATCTGTCTGTCTGTCTGTCTGTCTGTCTATCGATCCATCTATCTATCTATCTATCTATCTATCTATCTATCTATCTATCTATCTATCTATCTATCTATCTATCTATCTATCTATCTATCTATCTATCTATCTATCTATCTATCTATCTATCTATCTATCTATCTATCTATCTATCCATCCATCCATCTATCCATCTATCCATCTATCCATCCATCCATCTATCCATCTATCCATCTATCCATCCATCCATCCATCCATCCATCTATCCATCTATCTATCCATGTATCTACACATCTACCTACGTACATATCTGGCCAGCTCTCTCCCTGTCTTTGAGTCTTTGTTGGTTAGAAACAGGGACTCCTGTAATCATTTAACACATCGCTGATCTCCTGCTCCTGACACTGAAGCATGATAAATTGATGGAGCACGTTTGCCATCATAACACAATATCTCATGCTCTGCTAACTTGACTTCCATCCCCAAAAGTAAATAAAAGAAAAAGGAAAACGAGGTAAGGAAGTTAGCTGAACAATGGTTTTATGGATTCAGTGGATTTAGTGAACCAGAAGGAGGAACTGTAACAAACGTAAAGATGCTGAACTCAAGGAGAAAAAATAAACATGCTTCTGTTTTGTTTCTTCTTTGCAAACATAACGGTGGACACGCAGTTCAAAAGAAACACGATTATTTAAGCATATCATAACAAACTTAGAAGAGTTTATGCACAATCTGTGTTTACTCTATGCGGTTGTCATTCCTCTGACATCTTTGTCTTCCCCGCCTGCTTTTTGCCAGGTTTCAGACAAAGGAGGAGAGAGGTGTTGTGGGAGTCCAGCGGGACTCTGGAGACTTGCCCTCACCTGATGGAGTTCATCCCCTGTGAGGATCCTGCCTGCTACCTGTGGCAGGTCCAGCAGGAGGGAAGATGCATCCCCATCAATGGCTCCTGTGGTTCTGGAACTGCAGTCCACAACATAACCTGTGTCAACACTGAAGGTAAAGCCCCGGTCACATAAATGAACTACAACAGATCCGAAATGTCTCCCTGTGAGTTTATTGTGTTCTGCTCTCAGCTGATGTTTTTGCTTTGGGTTTGGTCTAAAAGCCTCATTTAAAGCTTTCTAAAGCTACGCGCAGTGTTTTATTTCACTGAGATGAGTCATCACGCCATTCATAACTTTCATATTTGTGTAGTACACTTTTAAAATTGAATAGTATAAGTACTCGCTTGAAATCCGTGCCAACTCGATTCTCTAAAATGGCGCTAAAAACAGCCACAAGCTACTGTAAAATTCATCAAGGTAGCAGGAGTCATTTATTTTATCATCCAGAGATATAATACCTTCAATTATAATGGGATGCCTGCACCGTCGAGCGTAATGCGAGCTGTTGTTCTCAGCTACATCATCAGGTTGGGTGAAAGGAACATCACCATTAACGGAGCATGCATTATTCATTACGAAGCATTGTCAAATTTATGGGCACAGAAAACACCGGCCTGATTAAAAGTCACAATCCCTGCTTCCTGCTGGGCATTAATTGCTCATCTCCATTGATTATAAGGCCTAATTGGAGCCGTTTTTGTCCATGTTTTATTACTCTGTCACAATGCATCATGTGTATGTTTATCACAAATCCAGATGAAAGTCCAAATTCATTAACTGACACGAGCATCTAATGAGTTCTGACAAGGCAAGGGAACAGTGAGAGCTTCGAGAAGGTGGAGGGGAAAGATTGATGGATTATGTGTCGGCGTTCCTTCTTTAGATCGGCCAGTTGAACCAACTATTGGGCTGGGCGTTCATCATTGTCCTAGTGGTGTCAAGGACAAGGTGTAATTGGTTTAAAGGTAAACAGTTTCCACAAATTAAGCAGCAGTCTAAGAAAACAACGGGTGCACTGATGGAATACAAACAATTAAACCCAGTATTCATGTGGAAATAAACACATTTGCTTTTTTTAACGCTCTCCCTGTATGAGCTTCTAATAGAAAATAGTTGGTGAAGATGTAGGATTTGAATCCAAACGGGTTCAAATGAAGGCAAATGAACTTCTTTGGTTTCTTGAAGACGTTTTGCTTCTCATCCGAGGAGATGCTTCTATTCAACACAACAACTCCTTCTCAATAGAGGTTCACCAGGGGGTAGAGAGGAGGGGTACTCAAAGTAGTTTCTGCTCGTTAAACAGTAGGCAGCTACAATTTATAAGCTTGACTCCATATTCCTGTCAGAATTTACAAAGCTCCTCCGATTAGAAGCGAAAGTCTTCAAGAAACCAAAGAAGTCCAGTTGCCTTCATTTGAACTCTTTTGGATTCAAATCCTAGCGTTTCATCATTATTTTCTGTTAGGAGCTAATGCAGGAGACAGGTGTAGTAGACTATTTTCATGTTCAGCCTGCAGGAATAACTCAGTGACCAATCAGAAATAATCATTAAAATATGTAATTTCAGTGTTCTACACCTTTAAAATGCTTTCTGAGAACAGAAATAGAAAGGATCTGTTGAAGCCGACATGATGAGAATACATTTTGAGCAAACCTCTAGGCTGATTGTTCATAGAAATCTCATTTGCTGCCATAAAAACTGCGATTTTTTAAAGACACAATTCCTTTTCATTTGCAACGGCTCGTCATGTAATCATGAAAACATAACCAGGCACCCTTCCAAGTATCTTCATTAACTGAAGCTTTAGAGGCGTTGCTGTAAGGAAAGGAAAAGTAAAAACAAACAAAAAAAGAGATTTAATTCTGGTTCAAACCTGGGCCTTTTTCATCCTAAACTATGCATTTGCTAATAAAACCAAACGTACAAATAAATCAGGAACGTTGACATTTTTGACATTAAAATTCATAAAAAGTGAAGTTTCTAATAATTATGGGATAGTTCTCAGGCATTGTTGCAAACTTTTCTCAGTCAAACAGAAACGTTTTAAGTTTAATGTTAAAATAAGAATCTGCCTTGCAAACCATCATGCTGAGTTTTTGATAAATAGTGTGGGAGGATGAAACTTAGACTGGTAAAGTGTTGAAAATGTAATAAAATTACCTGACGAAGCGAAGATCCGTGGGCTCTGAGGAAGGAACATGAACCAAAAACATAAGGTAAAGTCTAGGATAAATAAAAATATGATGAACACACAATTTGAAGCTAAGATGAGTATTTTTGTGCTGAGCTGACCAACGCTAAAAGGAATAAGAGTTGGAATAGCAATTATTTTGCATCATGTGCAGCTTGTAAAATTGGCCCGAAGGCATAATGAATAATTCTAGTGAGGATATTGTCTGGTTGGTTGATCATTTCCTTGTTTTCTCAGCCACCTGTTTCTCCCAAAGAAGTCCCTCTGCTGAACTCTAATAATCGAGGAGCATAGGTTTGTTTTCGGTGCTAATAAGAATGTTCCGTTGGAGATGGTGATTAAAAAAACACGACACAAAGCTGTGTTACATGAGAATCAGACACATGGGACAGCAATTCTTACAAGATATCTTTTATTATTATTATTATTAATGTTCACTTGTGAGAGAACACACCGTGTACATGAAAGAAACTAAACGTCTTTGGGATAAAAATGTAAAAAATAAATAAATAAATAAAACAATGGCAGCTGATCAGATATTTTAAAATAGGATGCTGCAACCCGTTAAACACAGAATAAAAATCAAACATAACGAGATTTCACTTTTGCTTTCACCCATCCTCATTGATGCTAGCTTTGCAAACCTGTTTTGAGTCTAATTTGCTCATCAGGGTTAGAGAAATCATCCCATTTATGATGACCTTTCCAGGTAAATACTGAAACTGAGTGGCAGTAATAAAGATGGTCAAAGCGGCTGGATGGTAGTGAACACATTCTTACATTCATTGGTTTGTGTAAAATGTTGTTGATCATTTGTGAACAAGCCTGGGTGGATTGGTGGAAAGGTCACCTGTTGCCACGGGTCTTTTGTGACAACCTTGTTCACGTACATGAGATGTTCTCCCCAAAGTATGTTGATTACAAAAGCACAAAATCTGCAAACGCCACCTCTGTGTGGCTGCCTTTCCATCAGGTAAGTGGTTCCTTAGTGAAGTGAGAAGTGCCTAAGAGAGCTGAAAATGTTTCTCTCCTTTATCCTCCAGACAGAAGGAGCATTCTTGCAATTTCTTGGCGTGAAGCAGTTCAACCTCAGAGGACTAAAAAAAAAAGATCAAGTTGTTTCGGGAACGTGAGGAGCAAAAACACCTTCTGCTAAAATTAAGCTGATGGTGATTTAAAAGATAGGACACGGTCACGCAAGCAATCGGTTTTACCTCAACAGCCGCGTTTCCGCTACAGGAGTTCCGGAGAGGAAAGTGACCAAGAGGAATGTTGGCTTGGTCCTCTCAGCTGAAATTAACCTTTGCACACTGCTATATATGAATAACCGGTAGTCGGAGTTACCTTTGCACGCTGCTATATATGAATAACCGGTAGGCAGATTTGAAAAAACGAGCAAGGCACACTCGCATTTGTCACTCCGTCTCTGCTTTAGAGGTCTTTAATTCCATCTACGATATTGCTGCTGTCTTTTTCTCCCGTGATCTCAAAATTGACCAGTTACTAATTTATTCTTTTGATGCCATGTTTTTAAAATAATTATATGTATATATATATATATATATATATATATATATATATATATATATATATATATATATATATATATATATATTTTTTTTTTTCCCTGTCCTGTCTGGCTGTGAAGCAAACAGAATTGATGTCTGAATGCTGGTGACAAGCCTTAAAGATTTACTCTCGGGTGGAGCATCACAGCTTCTGCTTTTAATGTCATGCATGATACTTAAAACTTTTTTAGGTCCGAGCAGCGAAAGCGCTGTGAAGGCCTATTGTATCTGCTCTGTTTATTTTTCTTCTGCAAAGTAAATAGGCTTTTTGGAGGCCTTAACATACCTGAAAACTCGGGAATTTTTGCACACATTTCAGGCGTGGTGTAAAATTTTGTATTTTAAAGGTCCCAAAAAAATCGCAAGAAAACTAACTCCACAGCGTCCCCTAGAATGTGAAAAATACACCCTCCATAAAGCTTGGTTTATCGTACAGTTATGAAATTTTGTACACTTGTAGTACTCAACAGTCCGCACAGAAAAGTCTCTTGCAACCATGGTCAACATCAAACAGGAAGTTGGCCATTTTGGTTTGAAATGGTGATTTTGAACCCATTTTGGCCATTACTAGGGTCCGCTTCTGATTGATTTACTCTATCAATTTTCGCACGATCGTCTCGAAAGTTGTGGGAAATTGCTCAGAAGGGATGGGCGATCAAATAGAAAAAATTAAACGGAGTTTTCGCATATATATAAAATATAAATGGCTATAACTTCATACTCTAATAGAGTAGAGTTACAAAGAATTCTGTGGTCATTCGACATCCATCTACAAACTAAACTGAATGGTCGGATGATGACATCACACAAGCCCCGCCCCCTCAGGACCAAAAAGGTCAACTTTTCCTGTGATAGGTCCCAAATCGCCCCATTTCTCTTAATCACCACAAATTTGTAGCTGGTAACTCAAGACAAGTGGGTGTTTCTTGGCGTCAGTTTAAGGGAGTTTTCAAAAAAGGGTGGGGCTGTGGCGGCACGGCAAAGTCAGGCGTACCGCTGTGGCCATACGTTTGCCTCCCGTTTCGTCATTTCTAAAGATATTGCCACAAAACTTCTGGTGAGTGATCCTAGTCTGACCACCAATAAAATTGGACATGTTAGGTTTGTGAGCGTGGCCTATTTTCTGAAATAGCGTCCCTAGAACCATTAAAACTGTCAGCCCCAAGCCATGCTTTGACTGAGGATTACGAAATTTGGTACACTAATGTAGTTTCTCAGCACGTACAAAACAGTCTCTGGGAGCCAAGCGCAAAGTTGCACAGGAGGTCAGCCATTTTGGTCTAAGTACTCAATTTAGTGATTTTCGTACACATAGTTTGGAGAGTGATGCCCCATCGCCCTTTTCATCAATC